TCATATTTGAAAAGAGAAAGTGAAAAGGAAAGAGTAAAAGTCGATACAAAGAAGAGAGGAGAAGAAAAAGAATGAAGAAAACGGGAATGGAAAGAAAGAAGATGAGAAAAAAGGGACAAAGAAAAAGAGGGAGAAAAGAGGAAAAAAGGGGTAAATGGTAAGAAAGACGATGACGATGTAAAATGGACTTGAAGATAAAAGCGGGAGGGCAAAGGAAAAGGTGGGAAAAGGAAAGAAACAGGATAAAGAAGAAAAAACAAACAAAGAAAAAGGAGTTAGAAAGAAGGAGAAGGAAAGAATGAGTATGAAGAAGAAAAAGAGGCGAAAAGAAAGAGAAAGAAAACGAAAAAGATTAAAATAAAGAAAAACAAAGAAGAGGAGAAAGAAGAAAATCGAAGGAAAAGTGATAAAAAAAATAAGATTAAGAAAAAGAATAAAATTTGAAGGAAAAATGTGCAAAAGAAAAAGTAATTTTGCAAAAGTAAAAAAGAAGAAAAATACAAGAGAAGAGAGAAATGGGGAGAAAATGAAAACGAAAACCAATGAAGACGACATATGGAAAAGAAGAAAAAGCAAAGAAGTGAAAGAAGAAGTCTAATGAAAATGTAGAAAGAATAAAGGAAGTTATTAGAGAATGAAAAAGAAGTTTGTAAAAACGAGAGAAATGACATGAAAAAAGAAGAAAAAAGAAAGCAATAAAAAACAAGGGAGACGGTCAATAAAAAGTGAGGAAAGGCAATGAAAAGAAAATGGCGAAAGAAAGAGAGAAGAGAAAAGAATAAGAAAAAGGGGGAAAAGACAATGAAAAGTAAAATGGCGAAAGAAAGAGAGAAGAGAAAACAGCAAAGAAAAGATTAAAAAGGTAATGAAAATTAAAATGGCCAAAGAAACAAAGATGAAAAATATGAAGAAAAAAGGGATAATGAAAAGTAAAATGGCGAAAGAAAGAGAGAAGAGAAATTTACAATTATTTTTTAATTCATCCTCCGATTCAATAGTAATGTCTCGGCACCAGTTGATTGCTTCAAAAACGGATCATCCCGAAAAACATTTAATTCAAACCCTTTATTCTTTAAACCTAGAGCCTCCTCGATTAGGTTAAAGCGACAATCTTTTTTCTATATACTAGACCAATTTTGTTTAAATTTCATATTGATCACAATTTTCAATTAAAGATTTGCTTTCCAAAATTATAAATCATCTATATTTCTGAGATGAGGTATTTTAACTATTTACTTTTCATTGTTCGAACTGTTGTCCTCATCTTTATTGCCATATTCACGACATTTCGGTCGTTATTAGCTCCGACCTTCTTCAGGTGATATTTCTTGAAATTTCGAATTTATTTAGTTCACGGGGTAGAATATTCTTATTCTTATTCCACGTGCCTTCATATGTCTTAGTTGCAGTTAATTTCCATTCATAATTCAACTCTCCCCGTTTTTCTGGGTTTTTTGGGGTTTTTTTTTTTTCCTGTGCTGTGACCATATATTGATCTGACAACTCTTTTGCTGTGGCCAGGTATTGAACTCGGAACTCAGAGTCAAGTCACTTTTTGGATAAATCAACTAACGCTTTTTATTCACTACGCCATGTGTTCTTGTGGTTGTGAGTTCAAACGAAAATGTCCTTCCAATATGAGTAGTGTCCCGACATTAAAACAACTTTTCTTTCAATACAGTCTCTACCGGCTTTTGAAGCTAATCCAAAAGTGCCTACGCGAAAAAGGTGACGACCACTCACGTGTTATTGGATGTCAGAGATGTAGGAAATTCAGCAGTCCACGTTTTGTTATATTAAAACCGAACGTCCGCATTCCGAATAATAAAATAAAAGTAAATATAGTTCCATGCCTGTTAAATAAATCATTTGCATTTATAGACATATGCACATGAATACAAAAGAGTTACAAATTATTTAAAATAATCTTTAGTTGAGTTAAAATCTTTGGGTAGTTGGTAGACAGAAAAAAAACTGTAATTTAGAAAAGGCATTTAAATAATTGGTTCACAGAAAAAAAGGCTATGGTTGAGAAAAGACTTATCTTTAGCGAAGATTCACTGAGTGTTTTTTCTTGTTGTTGGAGATGGTTCGTTTAAAGTCGCCAAATGACTATAATCGTCAGCGAAGATTCACTGACCCTTTCTACTGTTGTTGAATAATTCGTTTGATATCGCCGACATGTTTCTTTCAGCACGCGCAGGGGGAGTCAGTCGCATCTCAACTGTCTGTAAGTCGAACTCTGGGGGGAGGGGGGTATGTGAAATTTTTAAGGAAGTCAGGCTCGAGAAAAATAGGTTTGTAGTTTTCTGGCATGTTTGTAATATTGTCTGTTATTGGGTAAAAATATAGTTTAGGCCTATTTTAATATGGTATGTATGTGGATATGTAATTTTGCTGGAAATAGAGTTTATTTACTGTAATGTCAGTATATCTTTGTCATTTCAGGGCATTTTTCAACTTTGCTAAATTCTGATAAATAAAGTTTATCTCCCATATATGCCAATGGATACCTCAGCCAAGAGCTAACGAATTCTTTACCCAGCATATGCTTATATTGTCATTTCCCCCCGAACAAGTTGGTAGTGCCACTAGCATGCAAGAGGTTACAGAGAATGAGAACAAGCTTAAAGAGGAGTGTTTGAGGGAAGGATAAAGTGAAAGACGGGGTTCAGGATCAATGCACCAGAAGATGTCGATTGATATTACATTTGAATATTTGAAGATTATAGCTATCAGGGAAGCAAGTAAGAAGAAGAGTGTTCCACTGTCGGGAAGTGTGAGAGAAGTTGTTGTTGGAGTAGAAGAGACGGTTACATTTAACTGTTTCGACAGTGAAAGTGTGGGACCGAGGTGCCAACCTGGTAGAACGCTTAAATTCATGCTGATGGGGCACCAGTGAAAGTAGCTTGTCAGAGCAGTTACCATGAAAATATTTATAGAAAAGACAGAAGGAAGCCCCATCACTTCTGTGATAAAGTGACTGTAGACGAGATGCAAGGTTAGGACCTATCATGTTGCATATCCGTCTCTGAATTTTATGTAGGACATATGTATGAACACGAGACCATATGTTGCAACAGTATTCAATGGTGCCCAGTGTTATTCCAAACTTATATACTTGAAAGCTTTACAGAAATTAAATGCAATATAAATCTAACGACTGTTTGGTGGTTTGCAAGTTGAAGTCAGTTTTTAGCGTGACTCACTGCTCTTTGTCCGTCAAACAGTTTAAATTCCTTTGTGCAAAAGTATTTTCACAATTGTTTTCATAATCTGCTTCAAGACACCCCAAATCTTTCCTTGGCGATATAGACAAGAAAGATCCGTGAAAATGTCACGATTTCTTTATTTTAAGTTTCTTATTAACCTTAATTCTACAGTTAATGATTCGATAAAATCATGGCAAGTTCTACGGTAATGAAATATTTGTAGAAATTCTCCCATCGCATTATTAAATATTTGAGCTTAACAAAATATTGCAATAACAATAGTAAATAAGAATGCTTGTCGTTATTTTAAGAAGTAAGGGGGTACAAATGAAAAGATTTGAAATTGACAATTTTTTCTATTTCACTGAAACAAAAACACTTGTCTTCTTTTCTTTTTTCTTTTTTTCTTTTTTCTTTCTTTTTTTCTTTCTTTCATATATCATGTTTTTCGACGCAATAAAAACGGTGTAGTTCATTATTTGTAAGGTATTCTTTCTATCTTTCTTTCTTTCTTTCTTTCTTTCTTTCTTTCTTGCCAAATCCACGTTTTAGCAAAATTTCTCTTAATAATGATTTTAAAATAATTTAGCAGGCGATGTTATTTTACTTATGGTAACTGATTTTTACTTTACTCGGTTTGTCGTTCGATGTTGTGCATCTGAAAAAATGGTGCGGTCGACAAGTTGAGCCTCAGGGGTTACCCCCCCGCCTCCGGAGACAGTCACTCTCCTTCTGTGCCTGGGGCGTCCCCAAAAGGGGAAGTTGTAAGGGGCCTATGGCAATTTATTCCACGGTATTGCCGTTAAACACACTTTAAGTTGATCTTGTGTCATATTCTCGGCTTCTTGGTCTTTTGACTGAGATCAAAGTGTAATATCTGTTCTTATCAGCTTAATCTGATTCTCTGTCTGTATGTCTCTCTCTTTCCACTGATTTCTTTCTTTGTTCTTTATGTTCTTACTGGAATCAAGTAATGTCTTTTCAACGGGATGAAAACGCGGAATAATCTATTAATTATGACAGGACGTAACGGTCGTACTAACTAACGAAGGGAAGGACAATCACAATTATAACTGGATATGGAAATTCGTATCGTGCTATGGTAATTTACTAAGCTTAGCTTAGATGTGTCACAAGGCCGAAAATATGGGGTACACAGTGAGGATCGAACTCACTACTCAGTCGTAATTGTTCTAACGAGTCAAGCTTGCTAACAATTATACAATGTCGATGTGACAATGGTCATTTTCTAAGTCTAGCTTGGTTGTAGCGCAAGTCCTAAAGTATGGGGCACCATGTGAGGAACGAACTCACTATTCAGTCGTAATTGTTCGAGTGAGACAAAGCTTGCTAACCATTACACCACGTCGAAATGCTCAAATTCGTATATCAAGTCAGAGAGCCATGATTCAATAATTCTGAAACTATATATCAGGTAAGACTTGGCTTTTTTGCCTTGAGTGCCGGCCAGTCTAGGAGAAGTAAAAATCTGTCTATATTCAAATCATGTAAGCTAGCGGTTTAGTTCTGAAATATTAGATGCAAACGACTTAGGAAACCATGAAAATTTAAGCTGCACTACAAATGTAGGTATATTTGTATTTATTAATATATACTTCATAGCTCTGTTTAATTATATTGAGCACTATTTTGTTTGAAAAAATAATGTAAATTAAATATATATTTATTTTCTTATCTGCATATGCACGCTATCGCACGCATATACAGTTGCTAATATCTCGTTATTTAGTTTATATTCATATATATATATAATTTACCTAATTTAGTTGTCACTTTTTCAAGCTTTACCACTGGCAGATGATGCTCACTGATTTACTTTTAATTGGAGTTGCACAAAAGATTTATACGCCTTACTGCTTTCATTCACTGATTTGTCTCATGAAACACACACACACACAGACTCACACACACACACACACACACACATATATATATATATATATATATATATATATATATATATATATATATATCTTTGTGCTAATTGAAACAACGGCTTTAGATTCCTTTCTCAGATTAGATTATTTGCAGTGGTGTGCAGTAATATGAATCTATTTTTTATTTTAAAATTTGTATGGCTTGAAAAATATTGCGTCATTCGTGATTGCATCAGATGTTTATCACGGCCAGACACTATTGTCTCTACTATCGATTAGTTGCCCTACGATCATTGTCTGCATTAGACGTTACTCCAAGGAAGCGTACAAAAATTTTAACACTGCACGAACACAATGACAAGCCTTTACCAGTGAGCAAATCAAAGTACTATAGACTGGCCCGGAAACTCTCCTGATTTAAATCCAATCGAGAACCTGTGGTCAATCTGCAAAGAAGAATTTGGCGGAATGGACTTACAAAGTACTAACATTTTCACTGGGTCATGTTTCATTGGAAAAATACAGAAAAAAGTTAATAATAACGGAATTATTCGTTTCTGTTTCAATTAATTTTTTTTTATATATATATATATATATATATATATATATATATATATAGTTACCCATGAGATCACTAAAAAGGGCATAGCATGATGAAAAAGACGCCAGACTTGACGAAAAAAATCTTTTCCTCTAAATGTTTATGCTATTATTAAGAGGAAATGTCAAAATATTTTGGGGGTATTTTTTTTACATTTTTTAATCGTTTTCCTTTTCGTTAAAAATTTTTTTTTTTGAGTCAGCGGCATTGACAGAAAACCGATCATGTCAATCATTTTTTTTGGATTTTATAAAAAAAATGAAAATCTCAGTTTGAATTTCTTTTAAAAATCAATTATAATTTTTTCAAAACATATTTTAAGAAAATCAGAAATTATAATATTTATCTAAAATATTTTGAACCAAACTTAGGTTCTGCGCCGAAAAGATGTGGTTTGAAAACAAAACAAAGCAGGTCATAAAATTTCGCGTCACTTGACAGGTGATGAATGACGTATTGACAGATTACGTGAGGATAATTTGTTTTACAGAAGGAGAGAAGTTAAATTATTTAGATTTAAGTGAACAAATTATTTACCTCGTTATTTTTAAGGAAAACTTTCAACGCTTTAATTTTTTTTAATTTTGTACTTAGCTTTCACCTTTACGTTAACGATGCTTTATGGAAAATATATTATAAAGAAATTAAAATAAGAGTGAGATTAAATTTCATATTTCATAAGAAATGTATCTAATTAATTTATAGTTACCTTTCTTATGAAATTTTATCAGAAGTGTACATAAAATACTATAATTTTATGTACATTTATTACATTTTACTGTGTTATTTGTATTCCCATTGATTTTATTATTAAATTTGATATTTCATTTATGGAAAAATGTCATAATTGAGATTAATATAAAAATAAGATCATATGAATTTCATAAGATGATACTGATACTTGTAGGTACCCTTGTCAGTTTAAATTGAAAAATAAAATTAATTTCTCCACACGTCTTTCGCAAAAGTAAAGGCCTTAACAGCGGAGAACAGTGCTTAACTCAAATAACGCAACTTAATTATATTCTGGTTGGTCTTCCGTACTTTATAATTACAGTCCGATTATAAACACAAAATTACATCTTAATTACTGCGGATCTTCTGATTGGTTAAAACGATACAATTTACAATGTGGTAAAAAAGATCTATCTCATAAGGACGTTTACGAAAGTGGACGCGGCTTTTAACTAATTTTATAATATTTTAAAAACTTCAATGCAAAAATCTATTATAATTAAAGGAATAACAAATAATTGTATTAAAAATTCATTTTTCATCGTAAAATTTTTTTTGCTTTCAGAAAATATTGTCCATATTCATAAAAACCACTAAAAGCAAATAAAAGCATTTGAAATTAAATAATATATTTGTTTTATTGAGTTTTGTATATTATAATTCAGAGCTGATTTTCAGGTGTGGGGGTCCAATTAAAAAAATAACATGATTTGCATTCCTCAAAACCTTGTGCTTTTAATTCTTGTAATCACTAAAATGTATTCGATCGAATTTCTAGAGTTTTCATAAAATTAGTTATGGTGGGGGAGAGTAATAAATATAAAAATATTTCTGCCATGACTTTGATAAAAAGAAAACATATTCATAATAATTTCCATCATCTATGAATAGTTTCTGAAAGTTGCATTAACATCCGACTATTATTTTTATTTTGCAAGGTTTTCCAAATTAATGTGCGTCAAAAAAAAACAAAAAACTTCTTATTCTCGCTTGTGGTACTCTCTTCCAACTTCTACCTTCACGGTTAACTTTGATTTTCAAAAATTCAGATGCAATATTTACTGTTATTTTCTTATCCTTTTATTGTCCTCTCTCCTTAATAGTAGTTTTTCTCATATTCTCTAACACTCAGTAGCCGCTCCCTTGCGTCTTTGTAGCTTTATTGCCTTGTTGCAAGAAGGCAAATTGCAGATACCAAAATCAAGAGAATACAACTACTCCAATATCTGCTAAATGTTTAAACAGATAGACACTGAAGAGACATTGGGATAGCGAAAGATGACACCCAATAGCTAAGCAAAGTATTAAGAAACAGGAAAATATCTTTATGAATAAAGGAAAGGGCACTGAAATTTTGCGCAAAATCATGCCTCTTATATGGAATTAGATGTTGGACAATCTCCTCACAGATGAAGAAGAGACTTGAAGCAGTATAAATGTAGTTCTACTGAAGAATTCTACAGAGGATGCCACGGACTGAACATGTGAGCAACGACAAAGTTTTAGAGAAAATGGAAACAAAAAGGATACTTATATTTAACGTCAGAAAGGGGGAGTTGAAATTTCTGGGGCATATAATGAGGAAAGAGGGCTTGGAAATTTTGACCCTCACAGGTCAAATATAAGGTAAGAGGGACAGAGGAAATATTTTTCTTTTTCATGCTCAGTAACCGCTTGCGACTTAGAGGCTTTATTGCCTTGCTTGGAGTGAAATGATAAAAAAACAAACCCTGATACTCTAATATCGGAAAAAAAACTTCTCAATTCAAAAATGCCTGATATTCTGCCATTTACAATACCGGTTTTCTTTTAAGCCCTGTGACGGACCGCTGGCGATGGTGGAAAAGAAATCTTAGGTACGACGTTCGTTCATTCGGCATCGGTCCGTCTCAGGAGACGATGGAGTAGCGCCAGTGCGCTACGAGCCTGGGCGAGATGTATGGATAACTAGGGCTGCCCAGACGTCTAGTTCCCCCTCTCGGCCTTGCTAGCAGAGTCCAAAGGAGAGGATAAACCAATACAGTTTGGAACCAGCGCGGCTGCAGAAGTTGACGGAAGGTAGCACAAAGTGCCGTCCATCCGCCTTAGGGACTCCACTCCGGGTTTGCGTAAGATTTACTCCTTAGCCTTTTCTCCTCCAAAAGATTTCCACAAGGCAGTGGAGCTATTTAATCCATACCTGGGGTTTGGTTCATGGTGGGCCTGCATGCCGCATGTTAAGGGGGCCAACTCCTCCCCCGTCCCCTGTAGTTTAGCCCGATTCCTCAAGGTGCTCGGTTGACATGTGTCGACACGAGGAGGCACTACATAGGGCTTGGAGAGGCTATATACTGGCAGGGGAAGACGTACTCACCCGGCTACCCTTTTCGCATTGCTGCTAGCCAGCGGCGGTAACTGAAAGCGAGAAACGACAAGCACTACCACTACAGACTACCACACTAGATGCATCACAAGAGCCGTTGAGACACACAGCTACGACGTAAGCCTGGTATATTTCAACTAACGATAATCACCTCGTCTAAAAACGAGCACGGGTTATGACTAAAATTAACGTGGCCTTTTTCTAAAGGAAAAGACATATTTCCCGCCATATAAGGGTTATTTTTCTCCGTAACTCTGTCAAAAATATCTCTGCATCTGTTTGACACTCCAGTCCCTTGGTATCTCCAAAATGAAAATATATAGGATTATACATCATTAAATTATTATTACAAATGGAAATTATTTAAAAATAATAGGAAAAAAAGAAAACCTAAATATTCCTTGCCAGATGATATGGCGCAAAGATTTAGTCATGATGAATGGGTCTCCCCTAGGGAAGGATCCAAGCTTTGAGAGACTTACCCTTGAGAACTCGTATATTCGATCCATCGCTAAAGATGCTGGAAAAATGATAGGTTCCCTGTACCACTCCAGTAAGCACCTGACTCCTGCCATCCTTTACCTTTGCAAGAGCCAGATCAAGCCGTAAATTGAATACTGCTGTCATATTTGGGCAAGAGATAACCAGTCCTCACTCTCCAATTTCGAAAAATCCATAACCGTCTCCGCGTCCTTGTGGGTCATAAATTTTTCCATCTTCCGACCTCTGTCTCACAGATGGGATGTAGCAAACCCCTCACTGCTCTGTCGCTACATCCACGGAAAGTGCTCGGGCGAACTGCATTACTTGGTTCCTCCAGTTCTAAAGTCCACAGTTAGGACCCAACATGACACTCAACTTGTATCAAACCAGCGACATTCCCTTCGTATTCCACAGTGTCCAAAACCGTCTCTGCGTCCTTGTGGGTGATGAATTATTTTCCACCATGCAACCTCTCCCTAACAGACGAAATGTAGCGAGACTCTCACTCCTGTATCGCTACTTCTATAGAAAGTGCTCGGGCGAACTTCATTCATTGGTTCCTCCAGTTCTAAGCTCCACGGTTAGGACCCACCATGACACTCAACTTGTAGCAAACCAGCGACATTCTCTCCGTATTTCACACCATCCAAAACTTTCTCCGCGTCCTTGTAGGTGATGAATTATTTTCCACCATGCAACCTCTCCCTCACAGACGGGATGTGGCAAACCTCTCACTGCTCTGTCGTTACTTCCACGGAGAGGGCACAGGCGAACTGCGTACCTTGGTTCCTCCAGTTCAACCCTTCTCGACCAGGACCCGCCATGAAACTCACATTGTAACAAATCATCATCATTCCATCCGCGTCCGTATTCCATTGATGAGAAGTAATTTTCATTGGAACAGCTTCTTTCCGAGAACCACTTCTATGGAACCGACTCCCAAGTGGGTGTTTCCCTGATCACTCCAATCTTGGCTTGTTCTAGTCTAGGGTTAATCGTTGTATTCTCATTCTATCCGCATAAACCGCCTAATAGTCTGTAACACTACCTCGGGAATTGTACAGGGTGATCCCTACTTAAAAAAAATAATAGATTCATGCTTTCGCAAGGGTATTTATGCGAAAGTGAAGCCAGCCGGAATTTGAACTCAGTACGCCATGCGCATAGAGAACAAGTCAGCTAATATGCAAAAATAGAAATGGGCGTAAGGCAAGAATGTGTCTTCTCACCGGACCAATTCAACCTATACAGCGAGGTAATTCTGAGAGAATTGGAAATCCTACCATGACTCAGTATTGGCGGCCAAAATCTTAACAACAAAGTACACGCAGATGACACAGTACTAATAGCAGACACGGAAAGGAAATTACAAAATCTCCCACAGAAGGTAGCGACGGAGAGTGTGAAGAAAGGACTAAGCCTAAACTACAAGAAGACAGAATGCATGGTCATCAGTAAAAGGATGAGCCCGAAATGCAATTTGCAAGTTTGAGACACTAAAATCAAGCAGGTGTGGAAGTTTAAATATCTGGTAATATTTTGGGAATTGATTCCATCCCTCTCTCTCTCTCTCTCTCTCTCTCAATCGGATTTTATTTTTAATCCGATATTTGAGTGAAATAATATACACACATGCTCACACACACACACACACACACACACACACATATATATATATATATATATATAGACGCAATCGTCAGGCATGACGATTGCGTCTAGCATGAAACTCACTGTTGCATCTAAATGTAAACTTCAATGTTCACTTTTATACTTATATATATATATTGTCATCCACAGACAGACTGTTTCGCTGTATCACAGCTCATCAGTGTGGCTAGACATCCGGTTGCCTCTAGCTGGGATAGAAATTGGTGCATGTTTCATTAAATAATATACACAAGTTTATTTATTTAAAGTAAGTTGCTTTCATATTGTCTGATAAGCTTAATAACATTATCATTGAAAGACGAAAGGAAATCACCATATTAATACATGTTTTAATCCAATCTAAGCTTTCGGCTTTCATAAACCATTATCAAAAATGACAATTACGTTTCAATATATTAAACAATACACGGGCGAAACAATTATGATAGTCTGTTTTTGTTGCATGAAAAATTTTAAAGCAACGATAAAATCGTGTATACTAGACGCGGAAGCGAAAATCGCGTCGCAGCTCGTGACGTCACACATGACCAGGCTAGAGTGAAAACGAGAAGTATTAAGTATGGGAAGCCGTTGGTATAAACCAATGGCTTCTGTTATAAAAATTATATGTATTTAAGAATATTTGTGGAGATTTCGTAGTTTATTTTGTTCAGTTTAGTTTTCAACTGTATTATGTATATAGATTCAAGAATATATATATATATATATATATATATATATATATATATATATATATATATATGAATGAATAAATACAAAAGGATAACATCTTAGGCGACGCGTTTCGTTCACTTTAAGGTCTTTATCAAGGTATATGCAAGGAGATCTATATTATTTTTTTAATTTATTTAAACGACTTCTGGAGTTTTTTTTCTATGCGACGAGCTAATTGTACCAAAAAGTTGTGCTAACATTTTGATTAATGTGCCGACTAGTTTATGTGAGGAACTGACACTTCCTGATATAATGGATCTCAGTGATGTTGCTTTAGACCGCCAATCTCAGAGCTAATCTGATGAATCTATTTGTGAGCATTCCTAAACCCAAATATTTTGAAAAATCAATAACATATTTGCTTTTCTATATAAATACTTGCTACAAAATAAAAAAAAAACCTTGCATTTATCTTAATAAAGTCCTAGAGAAGAAAACGCTTCCACTAAGATAAGTTTTCCTTTTGTCTTTATTCATTTTACAGATATAGTCCATCTAAAATTTTTACACACACACACACACATATATATATATATATATATATATATATATATATATATATATATATGTATATATATTCATCCACAGACAGAATGTTTCGCTGTATCACAGCTCTTAAGTGTGGCTAGGATCGAAAGCCGGCTGAATTGGCGTCAGTCGGAGATTCTACCCCTAAGCCGTCGGCGCATGGCAGGGACGAAGTTGAATTTTAGCTTATTTATTTTTAGATAATCACACAGTAACTGAGAGGACTCGATTCGCTTTACCGAAGAGTCTTGTAATAATAGCCGTAATAGTCACTGTTTACAAACCCACACTTAGTC